TTCATCAAGTCATGTATCATCATGTAAGCTTCATCAAGTCATGTATCATCGTGTAAGCTTCATCAAGTCATGTATCATCATGTAAGCTTCATCAAGTCATGTATCATCATGTAAGCTTCATCAAGTCATGTATCATCGTGTAAGCTTCATCAAGTCATGTATCATCATGTAAGCTTCATCAAGTCATGTATCATCATGTAAGCTTCATCAAGTCATGTATCATCATGTAAGGTTCATCAAGTCATGTTTCATCATGTAAGCTTCATCAAGTCATGTATCATCATGTAAGCTTCATCAAGTCATGTATCATCATGTAAGCTTCATCAAGTCATGTATCATCATGTAAGGTTCATCAAGTCATGTTTCATCATGTAAGCTTCATCAAGTCATGTATCATCATGTTAAGCTTCATCAAGTCATGTATCATCATGTAAGCTTCATCAAGTCATGTATCATCGTGTAAGCTTCATCAAGTCATGTATCATCATGTAAGCTTCATCAAGTCATGTATCATCATGTAAGCTTCATCAAGTCATGTATCATCGTGTAAGCTTCATCAAGTCATGTATCATCATGTAAGCTTCATCAAGTCATGTATCATCATGTAAGCTTCATCAAGTCATGTATCATCATGTAAGCTTCATCAAGTCATGTATCATCATGTAAGCTTCATCAAGTCACCACATAATTAAGCTCTACACAAACCTAAACATTGTCTTATTAAAAATTCTTCCACAGTTTGCCTTGACTAACGGACACATTACGTATTTATAATGTATTAAATATATTATTATTTACTAACAAATCTGAAAAATGCAGAAAATATTATTTAACATTTTCAATAAGGGATATTTTTAATTAAACTGCTGATACTAAGAAAGTTGAAAAATAATGTATGAAAAACATCAGTGTAAACAAGAATTTTTTTTTTAATTTATTAGATGATAAATTATCAAACGTTTGAGATCATCAGGAAAAAGTAAGAAATATATAATTTTTTCAAGACAATTATTAAGATTGTGGAAAATACTGTATATATTTTCCGGAAATACAGTAATTTATAGGTAAATAGATGCCCTATATTGTATTTTTAAAAGAAGTATGTTATCGAAAATGGGAAACCTGCGGCTGGGGAGGAGATTCGCCATCTTGGTTTTGAATTGGATACAACGTTAATTTAATGGGAAGAATTTTTCGTGCTCTAGAGGTTAAAATTGGATTGACACCTCTCAAATAGGAGGCAAAATTGTTGGATGTGCATTCCTGCATAACTTGAGATATCAGACGACTGGACAAGACAGCTCCAGGAACCTCAGATAAGCTCTCTAGATTTGTGTGTAATTCTGGCCAGCATTATTTTCATAGATTTAGTAAGAGTGAGGTTTTCTGAGTATGATACACATTAATCTCCAGTCAAATTGGTGAGTGATATTAAGATATATTTTCCTTCTGTTATGTAATTGTGTATATATATAACCATTTATTATTTTTAATATACAGTCCACAAATTTATATATTTACCAGCATTCCTGGTGTATGTATATTTCATTTAATTAATAGGTCCAGAACAACTTGTGGATATGACAGTGGTAGGTATCGAAGGGGGACATTTTTTGCGACCTAAGTGTCCCAAATTCCTACTTGTCTAACTAATAAATAATAGTTATCATTGTTCATTTACTGTTATGTATATAATTATACATCCAAGTAAATGCAATTTTCCACAAAGATTATATTTCAAATTACTGCATACACAAAGTATAGAGTAAATAGATAACATAGAATGCACAGCATTTGAGGCAAAAGGATGTGCAGAATGTTCGGCTGTTTACCTGGAGAGAGTTGCGGGGGTCAACGCCCCCGCGGCCCGGTCTGTGACCAGGCCTGTGCAATATTAAGGTTAAGCAAAAATCATTACAAGAGATGTGCTACATAAATGTTATGCACAGAGACTAGTGAGTCACTTATAAGTAAACTAGTGATGGGAAATCCGAAATCCGGTGCAGGCGGTTTTCCACATCCTATACTGACTTATAACACAGCCATGGTCATGCATTAATGTGGGAAACATTAATTTATGCTTAAATAAATTTGTTTGTATGTATGCACAATTTTCTTCTCTCTATTTTCATACATCTGTTTCTCACCGAAGTAGGGAGACCCCCCCCCCCCCGAAAAAAAAGCTAATTGCCTTCACTACTCATCTCCAGCTGCTCTGTCAGAAGTACACAGGCACCTGGACTGCAGTCTTTCCATCCAGCCTTTATAGTGTAGGCACTGTACTTTCCACCTCCAGAATTTAAGTCTATATAATCAATTTCCTTGACTCCCATCATAAAATCTACACTGCTCTTCTCCCAATAATACATCAAATGCTAAAAACTACTTGGTTAAATTTTAAAAAACTGCTTCATACTCTTCTAAAAACTCTTTCTGAGACGTTATCTATTCAGGCTTATACATCCTCTCAGACATCCTACATTTTTTTTTCCTTCCTAAATGACTAAACTATCTGAGCAACCTAACTTCTACCCTTTGAATTTTACCTTTTATATCACCACACCATCTATTTTTTATGCTTGTATTTTCTGCATAATATTGACATCAGACATGACACTCCTGCATGACCTGCATCTTCCTGGCTGCAACGTTCAAATTCAATACCTCACATCCACACAAGAGTGTTAGCACCACTATACTCTCATACTTTATCCTTTTTTGCTTCCACTGATAACATCTCAAGGGAGGCTCTTGATCTAGGGCACTGGATCTGTGGTACATTTCCTTTAATTGAACCTGAATGCCTTCATTCCCTCCAACAAAACGGGCTCACACTACCCCCATGCTAATAATCCATTGATAAATCTTTCTTTCTTCTATCTACAACTTCCCCTCTAAACTCCTACTATCTTCTCGTTCATCTGTTAATGTGTCACGTCCAATCCTACATACACTCGTGGTCTAACACATACGCAAGAGTTATATATACATAGATAAGTTTCATACATAGTTTTAAAAAATAGTCAGGCCCCGCTTATACAGCAGGTTAGGGTCTGGGCTAACACTAAGTGAAAATAGCCATGAAGTGAAACATTGTCTCTTCACTTTCAAATGCATATAAAAGCCTGATAACATGTTCACACTGTCACATATTAAGTTAGCAATAGACCTAGGCCTATAACAAGCGTATACAGTACACACAATACTTATCTTAAAAAATGAAGAATGGGTATAACTGAAAACCACTGCATTGGCAATACGCTATAAAGCGGAGCCTTCCTGTACGTATAATGAAGGTCACGCATCAAGGGGAGGGAGAAACCTAGTAGTAGCCAACGGAAAGGAGGGGCCAGGAGCTGAGATTCGACCAATGTAACTCCTAAGTTTTTAAATAAATTCACTTCCTACAATGCTCCTTCCCTTCAGTCTTTCGTCAGATCTACTATTCTTAATACTTTTTTAATTTGATTATCGTTTGCTTTTCTTTGTCTGTTGAACTTATTATTATTATTATTATTTTTGTTGTTATTGTTTTTGTTGATCAAAGGAAAGCACTAAACTCGTAGGGGTCACGCAGATTGAAGATTTGTAGGTAATCAGATTTGATCCAAGGTGCCAGGTTGCGTCTCTTTCTTGAAGAATTCAATTAAAAAAAAAAAAGATCATACCCATTAGATAAATACTATAAGCTACCACATGCGTTTAATGTATGATTGCAATGGAGAAATTATTATGTTGATATATGTAGTATTATATGATATCTGTACGATGAAGGTGGTGCCCATTTGTGGAAATTTCAGATCTGCTGGAAGGATAATAATAATAATAATAATAATAATAATAATAATAATAATAATAATAACATATTTATTTTTCCAAGTACATGTACAAGGTATACATGTACATATTCCATATAGAAAGTCGCTTGTTATGCAGAACATTTCCCGCAAATTGGGTCAATTTTGTCCCAGGATGCGACCCACGCCAGTCGACTAACACCCAGGTACCTATTTTACTGTTAGATGAACAGGGACAGCAGGTTTCTTAAGGAAACACGCCGTAATGGTTCCATCCGTACCGGGGACCGAACCACGGACAAAAGTATGTGTGCTGAGTGCACTAGCAGTCGAGCTAATGTAGCTCTTGTGAAATTTGATGTAGGTGTTGTGATTGAGGTTCAAAATGTTATAGTCTGTGACTCGGTTGGCAACGCTCATTCCTCATAAACTGAATGTCCGTGGTTCAATCCCCGGCACGGGTGGAAACGTTGGGCATGTTTCCCTACACCTGCTGCCCCTGTTCAACTAGCAGTAAGTAGGTACCTGGATGTTAGTCATCTTACACCTGCTGTCCCTGTTCAACTACCAGTAAGTAGGTACCTGGGTGTTAGTCAACTGTTGTGGGTCGCATCCTGGTGGACAAAACTGAAGGATCACTTGATAGCATATTGAAAACCCACATAGTTAAGTAGAGCATGTCGCGCAGTGAAACAGACAGTCCTCGAAGACGCACTGACTTCCTTAGGTTATCCTAGGTGACTAACCCTCGGAGTTAAAAATCCGAATAAATTTTCTTATCTTAGTCATGCTATGTGTTTTGTTGATTTTGTTTAAAAGAAAAAAATCGGACCAGAAAGTTGTTTTAACTAAGCAAGGTGTAGTAACAGTGAGTTATTTACAAGACTTGTTAGTTAATGTAAACATAATAATAATATAGTCTTAGATGCACACAATGAGTAGAGAAAAAAAGTGAAATAATCCATTAATTTAGTTCACCAATTTTTGAATCACCCGCCCTAAATTCCACTCACAAACCATATTATAATAAACAGCTAAATATCTTACAACAGAACACTATATTGTTTCATCTATAGTTAATGCTCTATAATATGAATCCTATTACAATAAAATACTTTTTAACATTTTAAATACTAAGTGAAAGTAATTTCATTGGACAATGAACTTTCGCTGAACATCAAGGCCAGTAAGAGCACAACTTCCTCTGCGTTTTTAACCAGTTTAGCGACTACAGAACCCAGTGTAGAACATAGACATTATAGTTACTAACATAAACCTTAGTTTGCTAATGTTTTCTGTTGGCTAAGATATTCTTAGAAGTGATAACAGAGGTAATAATGCAGGTGGTGTAGTGTCCGCGGCCCGTGTATTGTGACTGTGGTCGCCATGTTAGTGTAAACACAGCCTCGGCACCAGCTGCTGGGGCACAACACAGCCTCGGCACCAGCTGCTGGGGCAACAACACAGCCTCGCACCAGTTTTTTTTTCTAGCTGGGGCATCAACAAAGCTCGGCAGACCAGCTGCTGGGGCACAAACACAGCCTCGGGGCAACCAGCTGCTGGGGCATAGCACAGCTCAGCACAAGCTGCGTGGCCACAACAACAGCTCGCACCAGCTGCTGGGGCACGGGACGTGGGGGGGAATAAGCACAGCCTCAGGACCAGCTGCGGGGCACAGCACAACAACCTAAGCACTTCTGCTGGGCACAGTACAGCCTCAGCAAAACCAGTGCTGGGCACAGCACGCCTAGCACCATCTCTGGGGCAAGCACAGAGCTCTCGAGCACCAGCTGCCTGAGCACAGTACAAACCTCAGCACCAGCTGCTGGGGCATAGCACAAGCTTCAGCACCGAGCTGCTGGGTCAACAACAACAGCCTCAGACCAGCTGCTGGCACAGCCTGACAGCACCAGCCCTGCTTGGGGCAACAGCCTTTCAGCACCAGCTGCTGGGGCACAGCCACAGCCAACCAGCTGCTGGTGCACAGCCTCAGCAAACTCAGCCTTGCTGGGGCACAGCCCTCAGCAACACTGCTGGAGCACAGCCGCAGCAACCAAGCTGCTAGGGGCTCAGAACCAGTCTGCTGGGGCCGCAGCACAGCTTCCAGCAACCACTGCTGAGCATCAGTACCAGCTGCTTGGGGCACAGCCTCAAAGCAACAGCTGCTGGGGTAAAAACACCTCAGCACCGAGCTGCTGGGTACAACACAGCTCCAGCACCAGCTGCTGGGGTACAACACAGCCTCGCAGCCTGCTGCTGGGCGCAAACATACACCCTCAGCACCAGCAGCTGCTGGGCGCAAACACAGCCTCAGCGCGCAGCTGCTGGGGCACTGCAAAGCAGCCTCAGCGCCAGCTGCTGGGGCTCTGCACAGCCCAGCACACCAGCTGCTGGGGCACCAGCACAAGCCTCAGCACCAGCTGCTTGGGGCACAGCACAGCCTCAGCACCAGCTGCTAGGGAACAGCCCTGCACCAGCTGCTGGAGCATCAGCACCAGCTGCTGGAGCACAGCACCAGCTGCTGGGGCACAGCCTCAGCACCAGCTGCTGTTAACACAGCACAGCCTCAGCAACCAGCTCTATGGCACAGCCTCAGCTCACCAGCTGCTGGGGCGCAGCACAGCTTCAGCACCAGCTGCTGGGCGCAAACACGTCCTCAGCCACACCAGCTGCTGGGGCGCAACAAGCCTCAGCACCAGCTGCTGGGGCGCAACACAGCCCATCAGCCAGAGACCTGCACGTCTGCTGGGGCACCAGCCTCAGCACTTACCAGTCTGCTGGTGCACAGCCCTCAGCACCGCTGCTGGGGCACTGCACAGCCCACAGCACAGCGGCTGGGGCACAGCACAGCCCTCAGCAACCAGCCTGCTGGGCACAGCACAGCCTTCAGCAAACCAGCTGCTGGGGCACAGCACACAGCCTAAGCACTAGCTGCTGGGGCACAGTACAGCCTCAGCACAAGCCACAATAGGGTTGCTGGGGCACAGCACGAGCCTTCAGCAACCAGATGCTGGGGCAAAGTCACAGCCTCAGCACCAGCGCTGGAGCAACAGTACAACCTCAGCACCACTGCTGGGGGCATAGAGCACACCTTCAGCACCAGCTGCTGGGGCACAACACAGCCTCAGCACCAGCGCTGGGCACATGAGCTCACACCAGCAGTTTTTTTGTCTGGGCAAGCACTCAGCATCCAGCTGCAGGGGCACAGCCTCAGCACCAGCTGCTGGGGCACAGCCTCAGCACCAGCTGCTGGGGCACAGCCTCAGCACCAGCTGCTGGGGCACAGCCTCAGCACCAGCTGCTGGGGCACGCCTCAGCACCAGCGCTGGGCACAGCCTCTGCACTCAGCTGCTGGGGCACAGCCACAGCACCAGCTGCTGGGGCAACAGCCTCAGCACACAGCTGCTGGGAGTCACAGCCCTCAGCACCAGCTGCTGGGGCACAGCCTCAGCACCAGCTTCTGGGGCACAGCCTCAGCACCAGCTCTGGGGCACACCCAGGCACCACCTGCAGGGGCAACGCCTCAGCACCAGCTTCTGGGGCACAGCCATCAGCAGACCAGCTGCTGGGCACAGCCTCAGCACCAGCTGCTGGGGGCACAGCCTCAGCAACCAGCTTGCTGGGTGCACAGCCTCAGCACCCATCTGCTGGGGCACTGCACATCCTCATCACCACTGCTGGGGCACAGCACAGCCACCACCAGCTGCTGGGCATAGCAACAGCCTCAAGCACACAGCTGTCTAGGGCTCAGAACCAGCTCCCCTCAAAGGAAGGATCCCTTGATGTTGGTGAGGGGCTCTTGATTTAGGGAATGGACTGTGGCATCCAGTTCCCCCCCCCCAATTAAGCCTGAATGCCTTCCACATATCCCCCCCCCAGGCGCAGTATAATCCTCACGGTTTAGACGCCTTCCCCCTTGTATTATAAATAATAATAATCAGAACCACTGCTGGGGCGTAGAACAGCTTCAGCACCAGCTGCGGAGCACAGTTACTCAGCTTGCTGGGGCACAGCCTCAGCATCCACTGCTGGGGTACAACAGCCTCAGCACCAGCTGCTGGGTACAAACAGCCTCAGCCCACTGCGGGGTAAACACAGCCACAGCACCAGCTGCGGGGCCGCAGAGGCACAGCCTCAGCGCCAGCTGCTGGGGCACTGCACAGCCTCAGCGCCAGCTGCTGGGGCACTGCACAGCCTCAGCACCAGCTGCTGGGGCACAGCACAGCCTCAGCACCAGCTGCTGGGGCACAGCACAGCCTCAGCACCAGCTGCTAGGGCACAGCCTCAGCACCAGCTGCCGGGGCACAGCACAGCTTCAGCACCAGCTGCATGAGCACAGCACCAGCTGCTGGGGTACAAAACCAGCACCAGCTGCTGAGGCACAACACAACCTAAGCACCAGCTGCTGAGGCACAACATAACCTCGGCGCCAGCTGCTGGGGCACAACCTCGGCACCAACTGCTGGGCACAACCTCAGCACCAGCTCCTGGGATACAGCACAGCCTCAGCAGCTTCTGGGGCACAACACAGCCTCAGCAGCAGATGCTGAGGCACAACACAACCTCAACACTAGTTGCTGCGGTAACAACACAACCTACAACACCAGTTGCGTGGGCACAACACACCTACAGCACCAAGAGCTTGCTGTGGCACAACACACTCAGCACCAGCTGCTAAGGCACAGTGCAACCTTAGCACCAGCTGCTGGGGCACAACACAACCTCAGCACTAGTTGCTGCGGTACAACACAACCTCAACACCAGTTGCTGGGGTACAACACAGCTTCAGCATCAGCTGCTGAGGCACAACATAACCTCAACACTAGTTGCTGAGGCACAACACAACCTCAGCACCAGTTTGCTTGGGGCACAACACAACCTTCAGCGAAGCACCAGCTGCTTGAAGTGCACATACTACACTCAGCACCACTGCTGAGGCACAGAGCCAAAAACCTTAGACCAGCTCTTTGCTGGGGCACAACACAGGCCTCAGCACCAGCTGCTGGGGAACAACACAGCCTCAGCTCCAGCTGCTGGGGTGCAACACAACCTCAACAATTGCTGGGGCACAACAGAACCTCAACACCAGCTGCTGGGGTGCAACACAGCCTCAGCACCAGCTGCTCGGGTGCAACACAGCCTCAGCACCAGCTGCTGGGGCACAACACAGCCTCAGCACCAGCTGCTGGGGCACAACACAGCCTCAGCACCAGCTGCTGGGGTACAACACAACCTCAACAGTTGCTGAGGCACAACACAACCTCAGCACCAGCTGCTGGGACACAACACAACCTCAACACCAGTTGCTGGGGCACAACACAGCCTCAGCTGCTGGGGCACAACACAACCTCAGCACCAGCTGCTGGGGCACAACAGCCTCATCACCAGTTGCTGGGGCACAACACAGCCTCAGCACCAGCTGCTGGATACAACACAACCTCAACACCAGTTGCTGGGGCACAACACAGCCTCAGCACCAGCTGCTGGGGCACAACAGCCTCAGCACCAGCTGCTGGGGCACAACACAACCTCAGCACCAGCTGCTGGGTCTCAACATAGCCTGAACACCTGTTCCTGGGGCACAACATAACCACAGCACCAGCTGTTGAGGTACAACACAACCTCAACACCAGTTGCTGGGGAACAACACAGCCTCAGCTGCTGGGGCACAACACAACCTCAGCACCAGCTGCTGGGGCACAACACAGCCTCAGCACCAGTTGCTGGGGCACAACACAGCCTCAGCACCAGTTGCTGGGGCACAACACAGCCTCAGCACCAGCTGCTGGGGTACAACACAACCTCAGTACCAACTGCTGGGGTACAACACACCCTCAACACCAGTTACTGGGGCATAACACAGCCTCACCACCAGCTGCTGGTTCACAACATAGCCTAAGCACCAGCTGCTGCTGAGGCACTGAAGCTACACCACCTGTCTTGTTACCTCTATTATCCCTCATCAATCAACTCGTCTCCTGTCATTAATGATAAATGAATTAGTTATGACTTTTTTCTACCTGGAATCCCATGCAATTCTGAGCCTCTTTATTTATTGCTGTAGCACCCTTGTGGCCCCTCAGAGAAGGTTCCTTGATGCTGGTGAGGGGCTCTTGATCTAGGGAATTGGATCTGTGCTCCAGTTCCCCGAATTAAACCTGAATACCTTCCACATCCCCCCACAGGTGCTGTATAGTCCTATGGGTTTAGCACTTCCCCCTTGTTATTAATAATAATGACCCTTGTGGTGTTTAGCTCTTAGTTTTGATTATAATAATACTAATTAATTCAGTGCTTGTGAAGGTGTTTATGGTGAAGACCAGAAATGGTT